TTTCAATATTTAATGGCTTTCTATTACTGAATTATTTTTAAATTTTAGACAGATTCTACTGTAAATATTAATAATAATATAAATAAAATATGTTTAGTTTATTTTTCGAAAATAAATGAAAAGTTAAGAGGAAAAAGCAATAAAAATATCTCCAATCATTGCTAATTAAAAAGAAAAGAAAGATAGACGTAAAACAAACATCAATTTAAACTATTTTTCAAATTCGAAACAATTCATTATTATTATAAATTGATTCCTTATCTCACTTACTTGAAGTGCAGCTTTAATAATCTTTTAAACTTTTTCTTATTCTCAAACTTAGATACACTTTAAAAATATCAAGAACAGTAATAAGAAAACGATCATCAATGTCTTTTCGAACCATCAACTGGCTTGATTTCTAGTCTATGTGTATAACAAATCTATATGTTTAATGTTGCGATGAGGCTTATGGGTTTGTTTTTTTATAACAAAGATAGCTAAGTATAATATAAGCAATGAGTTTAAGATTAATGGATAATATAGAAATTCTTCTCTTGCATCATTTTTCTGAAAACTTTTAAAAAAATATATTAAATAATACATAAGATGGATCAAACTTGTACTTAGTTTATGCTGATAAAATAGGTATTTCAGTAAGTAAAGACGAATAAAAATACAATATAAAGATTTAAAAAAAATTATAATGGAAATTAAATTCTAGAATAATAATAACAGGGTAAATTTAATAATTCAAATCTAATGAAATCTTCAAAAGTTCAATAACCTTTCAATAAAAGTTCAAACATATTTTTAAAATATATAATAGTAGATTCTTGGTTAAGAAAATACATAGTTTTAAGTTATTAAAAATGATTTACATTTGTAATTTAGTAACTTAAAAGTGACATTAGTTTATTAAAAATAATTTTTTTCAGTATTTTTCCACGGTGTTTTTGATGAGAAATTAAATATCAAACAAAGAATGAGAAATTAATAATCAAACAAAGAATATCAAACAAAGAGCAAACAGTAAAATTTTAAACATAGCAGTTTAATAAAAAAAAATTCCCATTTTAGGAAAGATTAAAAATTAATCAAACAAAACTAACAGATAAATGAAAAGATGATAAATACTGTATGAAATTCTGAAAAATTGCCAACGTGAGATAAAGAGAAAAATGCAGCTGATGAAGTCGAAGAATCTGGAATATGAGCAAAGTTAGAAGTAATAGATAGAAGGAAGAAAACCCAGTAGATACTAGATAAAAATATAAAAATAATACAAATAATAACACTTCCAAATAATAATAATAACACTTACAAATTCAGATATACAAGTTCTCAGAATTAACGTAATAATCGGATTATTTGTAATTAATACAATAGTAACATCAAAAGATACTATCATTAGTGTTATTTATATACATTATATGCGAAGTTTGATTAAAATGAGAGATGGAGATCACTTTTTTATTGTTTAAAGTTGTTATTGTAAAGATGAAATATACGTCTAGCCTATTTTAAATGAATATTTACTCAATGTTCTATTGTATACGAAACACAATAGAGAATGCAACAGATTGACTCTTTTCTGATGTAAATGTAAAATATGAATGATAATACTTTGCTTATCATCGACTAAAGCACATATTCAATTATTTATTAAAGAGAATTAATAGATTCTAGTCAAATTATACTTTATAATCTATAAGTTATCTATATTAATTTATTCATAGCTAATAATGGAAATTTCTTGTTGATCTTGGTCCTGATACTGCATATTTTTAAGTTAACTTTTCATTATACGTTATTAGATTTTTTTCATGTATTTGGAGTGTAAACTTCTTGTGAATTTTAATGTAAACGACTTTTAAATATTTAAATTTCATATCGGTAATAAAAATTACCTTATCAACATCGTAATATCAGGTTTAATGTAAGATTTTAAGACACGTTTAATTAGATTCGTTTACTAATTCCAATCTGTCATCTTCTATCATTACACGTTAATTTATTGGGTAGTCAATTAGCAACCGATTCTACAGTCGTTGATTAAATATCATTAATTATTTTGCTACTTTAGGTTTAAAATAAAATAAAATAAAAATTACGGGTCTTGACTTTACTGTAAACCGTTAACATTTAAATTCAATTAATATTTACTTTTTGTTAGCACAAAAACATTCTAAAGAATTTGTAGATACCGAATTTTATCTCTGCATCGGATCTTCTTTAATTTATTTGATAAACAGTATAATTTTTTTTATTAAATTTTAATTATTCTATTTCTTAATTGCTATACTACTGACGGTTTAACATTTCGTTTAATTCTTTTCTTTATTAAATATTAATTATTTAATTTATTCTTCATATTATGTTAATGACAACTTAAATCAGACCCATTGTTTTTTCTCTTCCTTTGTTAAATTTTAATTCATTTGCCTTTTTTGTTTTTACATTATTAAATTTTAATTCTTTTAAATTTTTTTTGTAGTCAAATTTTTAAAAGACGATGCAAATTACATTTATTCATTCTTCTCATTAAATTTTAACACACTGATTTCTTTCTTCTTTAAATTCTGTTAAAGATAATTTAAATCAGTTTTGATTGATTTATTTATTTTTAAATTCGATTTTAAACTATCTAAAACGCCAATTTAAACAATTCTAATTGTTGTTTACCATTGTCGTATTTTAATTTTTTTAAGATTTAATTACTCAAATCCTTCTATGGATAATTTAAATTAGTTTTTTTCTTTAGTTTGACATTTTGTTAACACTTATTTTTCAAATTTTTGTTACTTTACAATTGTATGAAGGAACATTTAAATCAGATTTTCTCATATTACATTTTCTGCTCTTTATTTGTTCACGTAACCACAAATAGATATGATTCAATAAATGTGCTTTTTACCTAAATTTCATTTAATAATAAAAGATGTGTAGAGTAAATTCGATGTGATAAAATAAGAAAGAAATCCTGGGTAGAAAAGAAAATGTCAAAAGCCTTTTTCTATCTGACAGTTTCGACTTCTGTTTTTGTCTGAGTTGAATTAAGAAGTCAATCTGTAGTTGTTATCGTACCATCTGACGAGTTTGAACAGTGACGATAAGAGGATGCTTATCTTCCTTGTCCTTTTAGACAGATAAAAAAGTTTTATTCGAGGAGAAACGATTCTTTTTGTCCCTTTCGGTCTATTAAGTGCATAAAAACTCAATACCCCTATAGGTCTACTATATTTATGTACCACAGGAGAATTTTACGACTTTTCACTATCAGTTAAAAAGTTATAAGTTGTCAAAATTTAAATTTCATAAGAGAAAAACTTTTAAAATCATTAAAAATAAATAAATTCACGAAGTAGTTATTTTTATTTAAAAAAACCTAACTATTTTATTTAGGTATGTCAACTTTTTAAACCTTTTTATCCAAACATGGCATCTAAAAATTTTACTATAAAACTCAAAAATTGTGTTTAGTTAACATTAATATTAAATTTTAACATATTTTTCAAATGTCTGTACATTTTAAATATGTTAAATTTTGTATTACTGATCTCAAATGTATTTTTGGAAGATTTTATTCGGAAAATGCAATGAAATACAAAACCCAATGTAATGGAAGGATAATTTGTATTAAAAATTCACATAGTCTATTTTATACAAACAGTATATAAAACTTTGGTTTTACTTAAAAGTTTCTGAGAATAACAGTCCAGCAAATGCATAACAAACACGACAGAAATGGATAGTCTGCACTGAATTTTGTGATATTTACATTT